AGTTCGTGGACAATGATGTTTTCGTTAAAATAAATGGTTTTATATATATTTAATGTATATATCAAAATATTTCTTATGAAAAACCAAGTCAGATAGATTTCATTTTTATTGATGTAACTGTATATTTTTGTAAAATTTGAGGTCTTTAAATTAATAAAACTTTTATATAACACAAATAAAGAGGTTATTATCATTTTATATATCTTAAATATCGCTTACTATACAGACAAAGAAAATGCACAAAGAAAACCTTAACAAATACGTGTCAAAACTCAACCGAAAAAAGTGACGTCGTCCGTCGGCACGGGGAGCGTCCGGTCAAAAAATTAAGTAATATAACGGTTGAAACGATGTAAGAAACAAAATATTTGTTAAAACAAAATATTTGTTAAAACAACTCAAATTATTGAAATATATTGAATATATTAATTTGGGATTCGTATATACGATTTTTCAACAGTGTGTACGAATTCGAAGACATTCAAGAATTTAAAAACCCTTGTAATTAACTGTAAATGGAGATTTCTATTCATGACGTTGTTATAAATCTAGCGCAGCGTCGGACTGGGCTGTTCAGTTTGAGTATACAAAGAGTTAATTTAGATGGCGCTGTAAATTTTTGTGCATTGTTTTGAATTTTAAAAATTAAATAAATTATAATCTATACTCACCGTCAATGAAAACGACACTCTACTTTTAGGGTGAAAAATTATATACGGGATATAACTAATGTACCAAACAAATTAGGACATGTTTTACTTTGCCAAATCAGTTGTTTAATGGTTGAATGGTTTTCATTCCATTACCGAAAGTTGATTCTTTAGCCCTCTTAACAGATAACATTTAAATAAAACACCCCCTTCCGACCATTTAATCAAAATTTGCTAGTCCGCCATGTACAATATACAGTGTATGCAGTCCGATTTCTACCTTAAATTAGGTTTATTAATGTCTTTATCTGAGCGAAATAAATATTCTTGAGTATTTTTGATTGCCTGTTGTTCAGATACTGAGGTAGAATTTTCTCTAACTTGGCGCAGTGTAGTAACCCTTAAACTTCCGGTCAATGAACTGTCTTTTGAAACACATGAGCCCAAAAAGTCGTTATGTAGCGTATATTTGCATCTGTACCTCTCCTTTTTCTTTATTTTGAGAATTTCCAGCATTAGCAATGAAATGCGTGCTTTTGGTAATTTTGAGGAAATACAGGAAATCACATCTGGAAAAGAAAGAAATATTTTTCCCGGCATTTTACTACACTACTTATGATAAACTGGTACAAAACCTAAAAGAAAAAAACCCAAAAATTGTCAAATTTTTATCAAAATTGCTAATATATTTGATTTCTGTTAAGAGGGCTAAAAATCAACTTCCGGTAATGAAATGAAAATCATTCACCCGTCAAAAACTGATTTGGCAAAGGTAAAGATGTCCGAACTTTTTGTGGTGCATAGTTATATCCTGTACATAATTTTCACCTAAAATTAGGGTGTTGCGTTTTGGTTGACGGGGAGTATATATTTAAAGATTATTGCTAACACTTCGAAGTGCGTTTCGCCTTTAAAAAAGAAATGTAGTGTGTCCATGAACATGTGTTAAGTCAAAATCTAAATGTTTGACGTTATAATGAAATTAGCGTAACGTCAGACTGGCCCGTGCGCACATTCTGCGATCTTTAAAGACCCGATTTTTACAAAAAATATAAGGTTTTATCAATAAAAATTATATCAATCTGACTTCTTCATGAGAAATATTTGAATATACAATAGATGCATATAGAACCACTTATTCTAACAAAAACGTCATTGTCCACGAACTTTTTCGACAACCCTCGTATATACAATTCTTAATGAAATTTTTTGAAAAATTGCAGTAGAGTGGTTACTGGTTAAGTTTACTGAGGATGGCATATTATCCATCGCAAAGCTACATGAAGTTGAAAATGATGAGGATTTTGATGGCGTTGTTGCTGACTTTTTGGAAGATGGGGATAATTGCCATGCCCCTAATGAAAGTGATTTGTATCCAGCCAAATTCACAGACTTATCATGCACGCAATTACGAAATCACTTTATGAATATCAGGAATCTTTTGACAATGTGTGTATATATATAATTAAACGAATAGGTTATAATTTTATTATTTATTCTTTATTTGAAAACAAAGAAAGAGTCACGAGGGATTTCAACACTTTAAAAAGTACTTAATATTTATTATTTCTAAACAAGCTTCCTTAATTGAATTATGTAAATATGATGATCATTAAAATCAGTATTATCAGTCAAATTCAATATTCACAGGAATCAAATAAACATTTTAACTGTAAACATTCTGGTCTTGTAATGGCTCCTCAGAGAGTAACAGAATGAATATATATGTTAGATAATTCCTAAAACTTTTTCATATAATATACTTGCATATGAACATAATCATCAATTTCAACATTCATCTGGCATATGAACATAATCATTAATTTCAACATTCATTTATCTCTAGTCTGAGAGAATTTAATCAGACGTAAATTTGATTAATAATAAGGAAAAAGAAGATACCGGTAATAAAAATCAATCCACGGCAAGACAAAGGGAAGATATTTTAATTTTTAATTGCTATTCATTTTAAATTATGCAATTATCAAGTCCATGGACATTATAGTTTGGGTATATATAGGTTGCAGTAAAATACATATATCAAGTACAATTATAACAGGGTATTATTTAATCTCGGAATAATTATTTATCTCGGAATTCAATTAAATCATCATTTCAGGTCTAGTGCCTATATGTTACCTTAGTTTTTCTGTAAATATCGGTTTCTACTGTAGTGTATGTTGACCAAGTGGGTAAGTGTGTATATGGGTACCAAATAAATTTAATTGAAATATTGCTAAGTTGTTGATTTTAATTCTTGTTTCTGTTCTGTTTCAATTTTAAATTTTCAATTATTTTTTTCAGTTTTAATTATTTTTTCTAAAGGAAATTGGTATTGTGCAGTGAATCTGATGTTATTCTTGAGGGGTTAGTCAGATTCCCATACATTGCATGGACTATCCCATGCATCGCATAGATTATCCCATCTGCGCAAGCCCCATTATTTACTCGCTAATCTCTGCACTTTCCTTCGTATAAACGGCAATGTTAAGTAATCCTTCGAATGATCTGTCTTTTTACTCAGCTACGATCCTACCGTAATCGCTTCACTTATTCCTGAGTTCGAAATATCTGTCGGAAATAGTCAACAACGCTGTCCATGAATGAAGACTTCAACTGTACAGATAATTCGCAGCAAAGAACAATACATACCGATGCGTGTCTTCTCGATAAACACTGCTAACATTTACCTTTTTTTGACAAACGTGACATTTAAATCCAGAGATGATCAGAAATAACGCGACGATGTAAACACTAACAACTTCCAGCAACTTCCTAATGCAGAGTTCTACGCTGTGAAAAATGACGTTACGGGTACTGTTACGGCGGGGTACACCCTTTTTCCAAGTTTTCTAAAGCAAAATGGCGATTGAGCATTCTGCGTAATATAAGGTTTCCTGTCTTTGTTGTTCATCAGACGTAGTTTAATTTTTTTTATACCCGCGCTCCGAAGGAGAGGGAGGTATACTGTTTTACCGTTGTGTGTCTGTCTGTCCGTCCGTCTGTCTAGCTGTCTGTGTGTCCGTGTGTCTGTCCGAAACAAATTTTCGTCACAGTTTTCTCAGCAACTACTCGACGTAGATGCATGAAATTTTAATACAATCTTCTCTGAGGCATGTCATATGGTGGGATACATTTTTGTTTAAATCCGATGTCAACTTCCTGTTTGCCTGTGCTTCTGTCTGTTTCATACATAACAAATTTTCGTCACTGTTTTCTCAGCTACTACTCATTGCAGATGCTTGAAATTTTAATACAATCTTCTCTGAGGCATACCATATAGTGGGATACATTTTTGTTTAAATCTGATATCAACTTCCTGTTTGTCTGTGCGTCTGTCCGTTACGTACATGACAAATCTTCGTAGCAGTTTTCTCATTAGCTACTCATAGCAGATGCTTGAAATTTTATCACAGATTTTGTTGAGGCATGCTATATGGTGGGATTAATTGTAATATGAATCTTATGTCAACTTCATCTGCCTGTAATTGAACTTGTGTAAACAGTATATAAACATGATAGTGCTTATTTACATCAGAGAGGGGGTATTACTAGTGAGCATTGGCTCACAGATTTCTCCGGCCTGATATAAGTGATATCAATTTATAAAAAGGATGCATGCAGTGTATATATTAATGATTTAGATAAGTAACATTAATTTATAATAGGATGCAGTATATATAAAATTAAGCTAAGAACTACGAACTCTAACTGTTGATTCCCGCCTACATTTTGCACCCATTAAATTCAATTTAATGGCAATATGGCCATTAAATCTTTGTTTAATACAAAGAACAGTTCTATGGTAATTGATTAATCATTTTTTTTCCAGTGCTAGAAAGTACATTATCATTAATTCCAGCTGTTGAAAAAAGGGGGGGTAGGCTATATTTTCTGGTGAAATCGAACTTTCAAGAATCACCATATTTTGAAATAGTCTTAAATATCACAAAATGTATCTCATATCTTTTCTTATGTTTTACGCAGATAAATAAAACATAAATAAATAAATAAGATACAATTATTTAGTTGTAAATAGCTTAAAAATTGGTGAAAAATCAGATTTTTTTTTCGTTTTTTGTCTATAAACATATGCCCCCCCCCCCCCCCCCGTGAAACACAAAAAGCTTTGGCATAAATTTGTTAAATGACAGTCCATATTACCTGTAAAAAGGGATTTTTGTTTTACGGGGGGGGGGGGGGGGGGGAGATGTTTTTAAAATATTTTCCGTTGATTTCTATAATGAAAAACACCAATCGTAACTACTCGGCCATTTTCCGAAAGAGAAATAACATCGTACGCAGACTGTTTAGGAATCGGCAAATCACCGCACTATTTCTAGTCACGTGGTAGACAAGATGGCTGCGCCCAGCTATCCCATTTGTTTATGTTGTGGGGCAGCAAAAAGCAAATATTTTTGCATTTCCAGCAAAAAGTGTGCCTTGTTTAAAACAGAATCAATACTAAGTTTATTACTGAAAAATGAGGTGGACCTGACACCAATTAGAAGTCAACATATTTGTGACAATTGTCTTAAAACTCTTTCTGCAATACCGAATATTATAGAAAACGTTAAGAAAGCTTGTAAAAGCAATGAATGTAATGTGTCCGTAACATCTACAACAACAACCATCACAACCACGCCCATTGATATTGGTAAACGACCTGCAAAGACACCGCCCTCACAACTTAGGTCAGGTCAGACAAAGAAGAGGGGCCGTGTCATAGACCAGCTGGTGAAGTAAGAGAAAAAAAAATAACGTATTATTATATTCTACTTCCTTATATTTTGAAATTGTTATTTCATATGGTACTTTTAATTTACATGCTTTGTTTACAAGCAATGAATGACCTATACCCTATGAAAAGTGTGTAGGGCTAAATTTTAATAATATTGAACTGAGTGAGTAATTAAATATTTTGAAAAAGGTCTGTGGAGAAGTTGAAAGTTTCATCAAATGATGCAGAGGAGTCCAGTTCCAAGGCATGCCGTAAACTACGTTTTGTGTCAACAGATCACTCGTATACGCCAAAGGATTTACAGACTGTGTCAGAGAAATTCTGTGACACCATAGCTGACAGTTTGCTGGAAAAAATATTGAATCCAGTTTTTGAAAAGTATAAAGTAGTTTATTTAGTAAAGCTTATAATTTCCCATGCTTTCATTTTTTATGTGAATATCTTGACATTATCTACATGTGTGCTTCGTATATGATGCAAATAATGGGTGTTGATAAGGTGTGAAAAAAATGATTTAAAAAAAAATCATTTGTATTATACACTCACTGATCATTTTTTTTTTGTTGAAGAAGAAGAGACTTCAGTCTTGAAATGTATAAAAAGAGACTGAGACATGAAATTTTAATTACTTGGAGAACACTGATTTTTTTTTTATGCACCAGCAAGGCAAAGTCAAGATATTTCTACTTTAAAGTATTTATTGTTATTTTTTTGTTAATTTGAAGTTGACTTATTAAGTTAAATGCTTCCTGGTTACATGTAGTGGTATATACAATCAAATTGTTATTTTAATTTTTTAATCTAAGTAATTTTTTTGTCATTTATGCTGTGTCTGTATATACCACTGCATTTGTTGATTTTAGTTTAGTTCGCATGTGCTATTTATTTTTCAGCTGTTTGAATTTCAACATGTGAAAATCTCTCCAGATTATTCCCAGTGAAGGGTTATCACATGTAAGGAATGCTGTTATAGCATAGGAGAATATATGGCCAATTAGAACTATCGAATTTATGGAGATCCATTGTTGAAACAGTTTGTATTGAAAAATATGTATGGCATGCAATCACTTGTAGTATACATAAATATCTATATATATATCACCTGTAGTTCTATATACTGGGTATCAAGGCATGTTTTCAGCCATTCAGTTGAGAACATCCAGGTTCAAATCTTGGAAACCCATTACTTTAAAATTTTCATATCTTTAAATATTTTTTGATAAAACATTGTCTTCATTATTATGTAATTAACTGATTATAAAGATAAAGATAGCACATTTTTCTCAAAATACTAATACCGGGGTATATGAATTAAATTTATATTGCAATTATATTCATATTATTTACTAGTACAGTAATTTGAAATTTCATAAACATCATTTTTGAAGATTAGAAATTGTAATATTTTTGTTCTTTGGGTTTATTTTCAGTGATTGTACTTCAATAATCAACAAACAACTAGAAAAATTGATTTATGGGAGGAAAAGTGTCCTTCTTAAGAAAGGAGCAGATATTCTACGAGGTTGCGACATCTTTGCGGCTTGCATTAATGAAATGCAGTCAAACTGCCCCCTTCTCTTTGAGGTTTTATCCATGTCTTTAGGGACCCTTGATTCATCAGAGAAAAAGATTGCAACACTGGCCACCATTTATGGCATGATCCTTCATAGCAGGTACCCCCTTGCCTCTGGAATACAGAGAATGTATTCAACCTTAGCAATTCGATATCATGCAGATAACAAGGTACTTAAGTGAAATTGAGTAAATACATGTACCCTATCTTTCAAACAAACACAAAACCAACCAACAAACAAAGAAAGGAAACATATACATTTACATATTTAAATACATTCTTATAATACATCTATGGATTGGAAAATGCATTCTTTTAAATGTAAAGTTACCATAATTAGAATTTATTATTTATTTATGCTTTATTCTTTATAGCTCATGCAGAGACTCAATAAAGTCCACATCACTATGTCTGATTCGTCAAAAAAGAAATTTGATTAAGGAGCTAGGAGGGGCACTTGAAGAAAACTTGATTAAAGATATTTGCAGTGGTAAACATAGGTAATCAGAGATTACAGAGCTCACCTCAACGAATGTTGTCTTTAAGTAAGGCAAAGTCACACAATTAACCAACAAAAAGTGTACATTCCAAAAATGAAAATATTTAAGCAATTTTGATTTGATACTTTGAAATCGACCTACATAAAAAATTTAAACTAGTTCTTTTTCATGAAAATCTAATCAAAATCCAGCATCTGAAGCAAATTTGAGAGTCTTTATCTCTTGATGCAACATTTGTGCAATTTTGGTTTATACAATGTTATATAAGCCTGATAGTTTTTTGGTAAAAGACCTGCACCCATAACTTTTACCTGGTCTATTATCTGAAAAATGTATGTCGAATTCAGCATCCGAAGCAAGTCCATTAGTGTGCATCCTAAGATGTATTGTCCATGCAAGTTTGCTCATTATATGGCTCATAGTTAATTGGAAATAAAACATGCATCAAAAACTAATATTTTCACTCATCCACAAAAAGTAGGTCAGATTCAGCATCTGAAGCAAGCCTTGTAGTATGCATCCTCATTATATCATCCATGCAAGTTTGGTCATTAAAGAACTCATAGCTAATTGGAAATGAATTATGCACCAAAAACTTTAACCTGTTTACTCAACCGGAAAATGTAGGTCAGATTCAGCATC